AATCACCCCAAAAATACCCTAAAAACAGGCTAAAATCACCCCAAAACCGGCCTGAAATCACCCCAAAAATACCCTAAAAACAGGCTAAAATCACCTCAAAACTGGCCTGAAATCACCCCCAAAAATACCCTAAAAACGGCCTAAAATCACCCCAAAAATACCCTAAAAACAGCCTAAAATCACCCGAAAAATACCCTAAAAATCACCCCAAAAATACCCTAAAAACAGCCTAAAAATCACCCCAAAACCGGCCTGAAATCACCTCAAAAATACCCTGAAAACAGCTCAAAAATGCCCTAAAAATCACCAAAAAATACCCTAAAAGTGACCTGGAATCACCTCACAACCGGCCCCAGGGATGTCCCCAGTGTCCCCTGGATGTCCCCAGGGATGTCCCCAATGTCTCCTGGATGTCCCCAGTGATGTCCCCAATGTCCCCAGTGATGTCCCCAGACGGTGGCCCTCTGTTCCAGCAGTTATGGATGTCTGTGTTGATGTCCCCAGTGATGTCCCCAATGTCCCCAATGCTGTCCCCAGACGGTGGCCCTCGATGGGATGCTGTTCCAGCAGTTATGGATGTCTGTGTTGATGTCCCCAGTGATGTCTCCAATGTCTCCTGGATGTCCCCAGTGTCCCCAGGGATGTCCCCAGGGATGTCCCCAATGTCCCCAGTGATGTCCCCAATGTCCCCAATGATGTCCCCAATGCTGTCCCCAATGTCCCCAATGCTGTCCCCAGACGGTGGTCCTCTGTTCCAGCAGTTATGGATGTCTGTGATGATGTCCCCAATGTCCCCAGTGCTGTCCCCAGAAGGTGGCTGTGGACGGGACACTGTTCCAGCACTCAGAGATGTCCTTGATGATGTCCCCAATGTCTCCTGGATGTCCCCAGTGTCCCCAGTGATGTCCCCAATGTCCCCAATGATGTCCCCAGTTTTCCCCAGATGGTGGCCCTCGATGGGACGCTGTTCCAGCAGTTATGGATGTCTGTGATGATGTCCCCAATGTCCCCAGTGATGTCCCCAATGTCCCCAATGCTGTCCCCAGAGAGTGGCCCTGGACAGGACACTGTTCCAGCACTCAGAGATGTCCCTGATGATGTCCCCAATGTCCCCAATGATGTCCCCAGTGATGTCCCCAATGTCCCCAATGATGTCCCCAATGTCTCCAATGATGTCCCCAGTGCTGTCCCCAGAAGGTGGCCGTGGACAGGACACTGTTCCAGCACTCAGAGATGTCCCTGATGATGTCCCCAGTGTCTCCAGTGATGTCCCCAATGTCCCCAGTGTCTCCAGTGATGTCCCCAATGTCCCCAATGATGTCCCCAATGTCTCCAATGATGTTCCCAATGTCTCCAGTGATGTCCCCAATGTCTCCAATGATGTTCCCAATGCTGTCCCCAGACGGTGGCCCTCTGTTCCAGCAGTTATGGATGTCTGTGTTGATGTCCCCAATG